ATGAGTGATCGTGATGATCGGTGATCATGATGGGATGGTGATGACAGGAGGGGGTGGGTGAGGTGCGAGGTTCCCGCGCGGAGGTGTGCAGAGAAAACAATCCCACTTAGGATGTGGGGACAAACGAGGACCCATCACCTTAGGATGGTTGGGAAGAACGACCCGGGATACAAGACAGGTCCCCAGGAAGTGGTCCAAAGTTCTGGGGGGCCTGTGCCCTAAAGCATCCAGACATCAGAGGTCTCGGCTAGAGCGTGTCTTCCGTCCTCCGTGTAGCCGCGGGAGGGGCTGCAGTGGGAGATATATTCAGACCCCGCACAGCCCAGTCGATTAGCGGATTGCCCTCCTCCGGTTTCCGAAAGGGTGGTGCGGCCGCCAGATTTGGTTGTTAAAAGGGGGTCCTGTCCATTCTCGCCGCGGGAGAGAGAGAGGCTGCGCGCGGGGCCAGATGAGTGTTGGCGCTGAGGATTTCGACGAATTGATTGCCAACCCTCCGTTGGGTTCTTGCTTTGGATCGAGCGTCGCGGTCTCCACTTCCTTCTCCTCCCGCCTCCCTCCTGCTCTGTCCCGCCTCCTCTCCTGCCTCCTGCCTGCCTCCCACTTCCTGCCTGCCTTCTACCTGCCTCCTACCTCGTCATCCCTGGGGGACCGCGACAAGTAAAACTATCGCCGCTTTCGTGGTCTGCTGGGGGATCCAGCGGAGAGGTGCCCCACGCAGAGCCCGTCCCTGGGGGGTGCGAACTTGAAGCCTGTCACCCTTTTTCCGTGGGCTCCTGGGAGGTCCGACGGAGTGGTCTTCTACGCAGACCCAGGCGGGAGCTTGTTCTCCTTCGAGGGCTGGCAGTTGCGCCACTGTCGCCGCCTGCGTGGGCTCCTGGGAGGGGCGCCTCCTTGCTTGCAATCTGGTCTGGCAAGGCATGGGGAGTTCCAGAAGGGCCTTGCCTTCGCGGGATCGGCGGAGTTGCCATCCCTTCCTCGGCGGAAGGTGGCGGCAGGATTCCTGGGGTCGGCCATAGATGGGCGTTGTTTCACGAACAATGCAGTCTCCCGACCTCTGCAATCACGACTACATTCAGGGCGCCAGAGACTGGGGCACAGCAAACAGGGGTACGGGGAACGCCGATTTCCACGTCTGGCTAGGCCCCCGTTTAGGGGGCCCCGGGCGCCGTAGACGGGGGTACAGTAAACGGGGGTAGATGGAAAAGCCTAAGCCCCCGTTCAGCTACACCCCCGTTTACGAAGCCCCGATGCATCATTCGAGCGATGTTCGACTCTTGCTCTCTTGTCCTGTCTTTGGTGGTCTCTCGGGGGCGTTTGGTTGTGTGTGTGGGCGGCGCAGGGAGCGAGCCCGCCGCCTGGTCCGCAAGCGGTGCCGTCATCTCAAGACCACGACGCCATGGCACAATTGTTTCGGTTGTCTCTGCAGCCAAGACGCTGAAGTAAGGACCACTTTGGGTTCGAAAGGGGCTCGGGGATTTGGCTCGTTTCTTAGCTTTATGTCGCGGGATCTGCCTGTGGCCTAGGTCCACCGTGGCCAGAAAAGCCCCTCTGTCCCTCATTTGGCTTTCCTTCTGGTAGTACCTCCACTGTACTGCTGCCGGTGTGGCGTCCGCAGGAGCGGGGCCTGCGGCCAGGACCTGTCCGCCTGCGAGGCCCGGTGTCCGTATCCTCAGTGCCCCTCGCGCTGGTGCGTGGCACCCTGGGGCATCCCTGGGAGCTCCTGCAGACCTCGGGAGCTCGCTGCGGTCTTTGGCTCAGGGTGCAGCTCAGAGGAGGTCAAGTCCACTATCGGCGTTAGTACATTTAAGTGGCTTTCGCCATTCCGTCGACCCCCTGGAATGAGCGAGTGCTTGCGACGATCTTGGAAAGTGGGTTAGGAGCCTCTTGGATGCATGTGAGGGGCTCGTGGGATGTTTCTCAGGGGCTCTTGATGGCCTTTTGGGGCCTTCTGGGCTTTCTTGGGGGCCTCGTGGGGGCTTCTTGGGGACCTCTTGGGAGCCTCTTGGGGCCTCTTGTGGGTGCCTCGGGGGCGTTGGGCGGGCTCTTTGGGCCATCTAGGGGAGAAAGACTGGAGATGTTAGTTTGTATCCCCCTTCTTGGGCCCCTCGTAAGGCCCTCTCGGGGCTCGTTGGGCCTTCGGGCCCTCTTGGGGCCCTCTTGGGGCCCTCTTGGGCTGTCTTGGGGCCCCCTTGGATGCCTCATGGGCCCTGTTAGGACGATCTTGGGGGCTCCTTGGGCCGTCTTGGACGCTGCCCAGACGAAAAGGTGAATCTGCTAAACATGTATGTCTTCCTGCAGGAATGTGACGAATTTCGCCTCTTGGGACCCTCCTCTCGGCGGTCCTTTGGGAGCATTCTTGGGCCGTCTTGGAGGCGCGTGGGTCATCTAGCAGCCATCTTGGATTGTCTTGGGGCGACCTTGGGCCATCTCGACGCTCTCTTGGGCTATGTTGGCGCTCTGTTGGGCGCTCTCGGGTCATTTTGAGGCTGGATGTCCCGGAAGCTTGGGGGGGCCTTGGAGAGCTCGCCTACTCCCCCCCCCCGCCCCCCCCCCCCCCCCCCCCCCCCCCCCCGCCCCTCCCCCCCCCCCATTTTATTAGATTTTGGACCCTTGTGGAGGGGGAAAGGGGGAGAGGGACAGCCAAATGGTTCACACGCGTTTTTGCCCCCGGCACGCGGGGGTCGGCAGCCCAGTGGCCGAAAACCGGCCTACTCGGGCCTAGTCCCGCTTACTCCAGTCCCGCTGAATCCGGTTGTCTCTCGTGCAGCGTCCACTTTACTCTGGCTTGCTTGCTGATGGTTAAGGATATTTCCATCGTTCTCAGAGAAGTACTCTAATTTTCGCTGTCTTGGTGTCGTCAAGTCGCCGAAAAGGGCGCCAGGGAGCAAAACCAGGGGGAATTGATCTCCCGAGGCCGGTCGATAGTAGGGGGGGTCGCACCTGAAAATTTGCGGACACATTGCATAACAGAAGATCTACAAGCCTTTTGGCATGTCCCAGCGGCTGGTGGATATAATCCACTTCCCCAGGACAACTTGATGTTTGCGGTGTGGACATGTTCCGCTCTCTTTGTCCCAGGAAGGAAGGCCAGCCAATCTAACTATCCACCGCTGGCTTTCTGCCAGCCTCGAAGTAATGCTATTGCAATGATGATGATCAACTATGTATGCCAGATGCTCTTTCAGATCTGGCTTCCTTTCGTGAAAACGATGTGAACGCCTGCTGCCTCGTCGTGGTGTAATGGTCCCTACTTGAGTGCAATGGGACAACGGAGTCGCGAGAGTGGCGAGCAGTAGAAAGCAACCCCCACCTCTTCCCCCCTTCCCTCTTTTCCTCTCTCCTCACTTCCCTCTCCCCGTCCCCCCTCCCCCTCTGCCCCCCTCCTCCGCTTCTTCTCCATGTCCCCTGTCCTCCCCTCTCGTCCCCCCCCTCGTCCAAAGACCCCCTACCGGTCCCTCTCCCTCTTTCCCTCTCCTCCTCCACCGCTTTCCTCCCCCTTCGAGGGGGAGGTGAAGCTGGAGAAAGGATGACGATGATGATGATGATGATGATGATGATGATGATGATGATGATGATGATGATGATGATGATGATGGTGATGATGATGATGAATATAATGAGGTTGATGATAATGATGTTGTTGATGATGATGGTGATGATGAGGATGGTGATGGTGCTGCTGATAATGATGATAATTGTGATGCTGATAGTGATGATGATTCTGATGCCGATGATGCTGATGATGGTGATGACGATCATGCTGATGATGTTGATTTTGCTGCTACTGATTATGATGATCATGATGCTGAAGAAGATTATGATGAGGATGAGGATGCTGCTGATGATGTTGCTGATGATGATGCTGATGCTGAGGATCACTATGGTGATGATGCTGATGATGATGGTGGTGATGATGATGCGGATGGTGATGCTGATGTTGCTGATGATGATGCTGATGCTGATGATGTTGATGTGGTTGATGATGATGCAGCTGATGATGAGGATTGTGATGATGATAGTGATGATGATGATGACGATTCCGATGATGATGATGATGATGATGATGATGATGATGATGATGATGATGATGATGTTGATGCTGCTGCTGATGATGAAAATGATGTTGATGATCATGATGGTGATGTTGATGATGCTGCTGCTGATGATGCTGCTGAAGAGGATGATGATGATGATGATGATGATGATGATGATGATGATGAGGATGCTGCTGATGATAATGCTGATGCTGATGCTGCCGATGATGATGCTCACTATGGTGATGATGCTGATGATGATGGTGGAGCTGATGATGCTGCTGATGATGCTGATGTTGCTAATGCTGATGCTGCTGATGATGATGGTGATGTTGAGGATGATAATGATGATGCTGATGATGCTGATGATGCTGATGATGCTGCTGCTGCTGCTGATGTCGATGATGCTGATGATGATGCTGATAACGTTGCTGATGATGCTCATGTTGCTAATGCTAATGTTGGTGTTGCTCATGGTAAAAGGTGATGGTGATCATGATGATGACGATGATTATGATAACGGTGATGATGCTGCTGATGACGATGATGACGCTGCTGATGATGTTGAGTATGCTGCTGTTGATGAGCATGTTGCTAATGCGGATGGAGATGATGTTGAGGATGATGATCATGATGGTGGTGATGATTAGGATGACGATGATGATGATGATTATGATGATAATGATATTAATGACGATGGTGCTGCTGATGATGTTGATGCTGCTGATGATGCTGCTGATGATGATGCTGCTGATGATGATGATGATGATGATGATGATGATGATGATGATGATGATGACGGTGATGATGATGCTGAGGAGGAGGAGGAGGAGGAGGAGGAGGAGGAGGAGGAGGAGGAGGAGGAGGAGGAGTTGGAGAGGGGTGGTAGGAGGACATGGTGGGGGGGGGGTCGGAGGACAAAGAGTCGTGGGCGTCGTCGCTGTCGTCGTCGTCGTCGCCTCTCAGGCCGTGGTGCCCAGCCGCCCCCGCGCAGCCCCGGCGCGGCGCTGCCCTGCGACCTCTCGCCCGTGCCCGAGGGCGGAGGGCGCTGGGCGCTGCGGGAGGCCCCAGAGACCGCTGTCGGGGGGCCCTCCCTCCCCTCTCGGGGGGCCACGAGAGGGGGGATAGCACCCCCCCCCTTATGCCGGTCCCCCCCCCCCCCCCTCCCCCCTCTATCGTGGTCCCTCGCCTTCCCCCCCGCCTATGCTCTCTCCTCCTCCCTCCCTCCCAGGTCGTCCTCGTCGTCCTCCTGCTCTTCTTCCTTTTCATGCGCTGGCTTCCTCCTCCTCATCCTTCCTCCCTCCCTCCCTCTCTCCTTCCCCCTCCCTCCTCGTTCCTCCTCCTCCTCCTCCTCCTCCTCCTCCTCCGTCTCCTTGCCCTTGCGTGAGAGTCTGGCGGAGACGGCGTCGAGTCCTCCTGCGCATCCTCCCTCTTCCTCGCTCCCTCCCTCCCTCTCGCCCTGTTCCTCATCCGCCCCCTTCTCTGGGACCTTCCGACGTTGACCCACCGGAGGAGGGCGCTGTCCCTGTGTGGGACGTCCGCCTGCAGGCGGCGCCTGCCGAGCGCCCCTTCGCCCCATCTGGCGGCACGCAGCTCCGCGCAAGCCTGGCTGAATCTGGAGCAGATCCTCCTGCTCGTCCTCCTCCTCGCGCTGCTTCTCCTCGTCCTTCCCCTCGTACTCCTCATCGTCTTCCTCCCCGTCGTCCGCCTCGTCCTTGTTCTCCTCCTCCTCCTTCTCGTCCGTATCCAGTTTCGCTCAAGTCCGTAGCGAGAGGCTCAGAGACTAGAGAATTGTGGCGTGGGGAGTTCGCGGGCCCGACACTGTCACAATGTTCCAGACGCTCCGCGTAACCCCACCAGCCCATCCAGAAACGATACCCTGACGAGTTGCCCTGATCAGGGATGCGGAGGAGCAAGCAGTGGAATCAAGGTCCTCTTGGGGTGTCTTCGGGGTCTCTTGGCAGTCGCGGGTGCATCTTGGGTGCTCCTTGGGGGCCTCTTGGGGGCCTCTTGGGGGCCTCTTGAGGGCCTCTTCGGGGCCTTCTTGGGGCCTCCTACGAACCTCTCGGGGTTCTCTTGAGGCACCCTTGGGAGCCTCGGGGGCCATCTTGAGGCCGTCTTGGAGGAGGTCGATCAAAGGAAGGGCCGTAGTACATTAGGCCCCCCCCCAAGAGGTCAAACGTGGCCAACACCTTAGTCTAATACATGAGGCTGGTCTTCTCGCCGAGGCCACACTTGGGGCGTCTTGGGTACTTCTGGGGGGGGGGGGGGCCTCGTGGGGCCCCTTGGGATTCTCTTGGGAGCCTCTTGGGGGCCTCTTGGGGGCATCTTGGGGGCCTCTTTGGGGCCTATTGGGGTCTCATGGGCACTTCTTGGGGCCGTCTTGGGGCACCCTTGGGAGCATCGGGGGCTATCGTGGGACCATCGTGGAGGTCCTGTCGGGGCCCTTGGGGACCCGAGATCGGTCGCTGTCCGTTTCGGGCTCGCATCGTGTGGCAGGCGTGGCATTTTCTGGACACCATAGGGGGTACGCAGGGGGTGGTCTCTCAGCGCGGCCGCTATCCACGACATTGTCGGAAAGCCTAGCAGGCGTGGCACTTGCTGGACACCATAGGGGGTGCGCAGGGGGTGGTCTCTCAGCGCGGCCGCTATCCACGACACTGTCGCAAAGCCTAGCAGGCGTGGCACTGTCTGGACACCACAGGGGGGTGCGCAGGGGGTGGTCTCTCAGCGCAGCCGCTATCCATGACACTGTCGCAAAGCCTAGCAGGCGTTGCACTTTCTGGACACTACAAGGGGGTGCGCAGGGGGTGGTCTCTCAGCGTGGCCGTTATTCACGACACTGCCGAAAAACCTAGCAGGCGTGGCACTTTCTGGACACCATAGGGGGTGCGCAGGGGGTGGTCTCTCAGCGCGGCCGCTATCCACGACACTGTCGCAAAGCCTAGCAGGCGTGGCACTATCTGGACACCACAAGGGGGCGCGCAGGGGGTGGTCTCTCAGCGCGGCCGCTATCCACGACACTGTCGCAAAGCCTAGCAGGCGCGGCACTTTCGGGACACCAGGGGTGCGCAGGGGGTGGTCTCTCAGCGCGGCCGCTATCCACGACACTGTCGCAAAACCTAGCAGGCGTGGCACTTTCTGGACACCATAGGGGGTGCGCAGGGGGTGGTCTCTCAGCGCGGCCGCTATCCACGACACTGTCGCAAAGCCTAGCAGGCGTGGCACTTTCTGGACACCATAGGGGGTGCGCAGGGGGTGGTCTCTCAGCGCGGCCGCTATCCACGACACTGTCGCAAAGCCTAGCAGGCGTGGCACTATCTGGACACCACAAGGGGGCGCGCAGGGGGTGGTCTCTCAGTCCACGACACTGCCGCAAAGCCTGGCAGGCGTGACATTTTCTGGACGCCACAGGGGGTGCGCTGGGGGTGCGGTCGCTGTTCGTTTCGGGCTCGCAGCGTGTGGCAGGCGTGGCACTTTCTGGACGCCACAAGGGATGCGTTGGGGGTGCGGTCGCTATCCGTTTCGGGCTCGCAAAGCGTGGCAGGCGCGGTATTTTCTCGATGCCACAGGGGGTGCGCCGGGGGTGCGGTCGATATCCGTTTCGGCCTCGCAAAGCGTTGGCCGGCGTGGCATTTTCTCGACGCCACAGGGGGTGCGCCAGGGGTGCGGTCGCTATCCGTTCCGGGCTCGCAAAACGTGGCAGGCGTGGCACTTTCTCGACGCCACAGTGGGTGCGCTGGGGGTGCGGTCGCTATCCGTTCCGGGCTCGCAAAGCGTGGCAGGCGTGGCAACTTCTCGACGCCGAAGGGGGTGCGCTGGGGTGCGGTCGCTACCCGTTCCGGGCTCGCAAAGCGTGGCAGGCGTGACACTTCCTCGACGCCACAAGGGGGTGCGCTGGGGGTACAGTCGCTGTCCGTTTCGGGCTCGCAACGCGTGGCAGGCGCGGTACTTTCTCGATGCCACAGGGGGTGCGCCAGGGGTGAGGTCGATATCCGTTTGGGCTTCGCAAAGCGTTGGCAGGCGTGGCACTTTCTCGGCGCCGCAGTGGGTGCGCTGGGGGTGCGGTCGCTATCCGTTCTGGGCTCGCATAGCGCGGCAGGCGTGGCAACTTCTCGACGCCGAAGGGAGTGCGCTAGGGGTGCGGTCGCTATCCGTTTCGGGTTCGCAACGCGAGGCAGGCGTGACACTTCTTCGACGCCACAAGGGGGTGCGCTGGGGGTGCGGTCGATATCCGTTTCGGGCTCGCAACGCGTGGCAGGCGCGGTACTTTCTTTATGCCACATGGGGGTGCGCCAGGGGTGCGGTCGATACCAGTTTCGGCCTCGCAAATCGTGGCAGGCGTGGCAACTTCTCGACGCCACAAGGGGGTGCCTTGGGGGTGCGGTCGCTATCCGTTTCGGGCTCGCAAAGTGTGGCTAACGCGGCGCTTCTCCGCTTCCACCTCTCCTTTTTAGTGGCGTCACCAACGGTATCGGCGGGGCAGCGGCCACCAACGTCATTCTCACATGCTTTACTTCAGCTATCATCACTCCAGCCATAGTATAAGTATGTGGGGCTCCTCGGTGGCGTAATTGTTCTTCCTTGCACTCGAGAGCGGGGTCTCCCGCTAGAGGGGCACGAGGACCACCCTCCACCGCGAGGGGGCCTCGACGCCCCAGGCAGCTCCCTGGCCAGAATAGTATGGGGGCTTGCATCCATATGCTACCCCAGGGGCCCTTTTCGAGGCGCAGAGCCCCAGCAGGGGCACCCGACCTCCTCCTCCTCCTCCTGCTCCTCCTCCTCGTCCTGCTCTTTCTGCTCCTCGTCCTCCATTCTCTTTTTCCCCCTCCTCCTCCTGCTCCTCGTCTTCCTCCTCTGCTCCTTCTGCTCCTCCTCCTCCTCCTCCTCCTCCTCCTCCTCCTCCTCCTCCTTCCCCCCAAAGGGGGTGGGGAGGCTGAGAGGGGATGTCAGGGTCCTCGACAGCCCTGGCAGGAGGCCCCTGGCGTTTTGACTCCCTGTTTTGAGCCTCCTGGAGTCCAGGGAGGCAAAAACCACCCGGACCCGACGATTGGCGTCTGCGAAGCGGCCCTGGGCGTGCACGGAACGGTCCTGCCCTGCTCGATTCCTCCCCTTGGGTGGGTGCCTTGGCTGCACGCCTTCGCTCGCCAGGGTGCTCCTCTGGGGGGCGCACCTTCTGCTCTCGACGGCAGGGGCCCGAGGGCCCTGGCGGGCGAGCCGCCGCCGCCTCAGCGCCGGCCCTCCCCCGAGACCGGGGGGGGGGGGGGACCGGCCCGGGGTGGATCGGGGGCCCCCCAAGCGGGGCGGTGGCCACACCGCGCGGTGGGTCGGCGGGGAGTCGGGGTCCCCGCACGGCTTTGGGGCTCGAGGCCCTCTCCGAGGACGTCTCGGGCGACAGGGGTCCTCCGGGGTCCCAAGACCGTGCGCTGACGGACCGTGCGGTGAGGTCCTGGGGGATTTCGAGGTCACCGCACGGTGTGTCACCGCACCGTTTCGGGACTCCAAAGTGGAGGGGGGGGCATCGGCCACCCGCCGCAACGTGTTCTCGCGTGTCGCGTCGTGGGTGCCCGAGCCTGCCCGGGAGGGACCGGTTTTTTACCTTCAGCAGAGAGGGAGAGAGAGAGAGAGAGAGTGACATACACGTTCACATACGCATGCACGTACACATGGAAATGCACACGCACACGCACATGCACAGACAGACACAGACACAGACACAGACACAGACACAGACACAGGCACAGGCACAGACACATACGTATGCTGATATGTATGTGTGTACAGATGTATATATATATATATATATATATACATGCGCACACACATACACATGCACATGCACATACACACATACACATACACATACACATACACATACAACTACACATACACAGTCACATACATTTACACATGCACATACACACATCCATACACATACCCATTCACATACATCCATGCTCACCTACCTTATCTACCTACCTACTGACCTACCTACCGACCTACCTACTTACAGACAGCCAGGCAGGCAGACAGACAGGCAGACATACGCAAACGCTTGCATGCATGCATACATACATACGCACATACACATACACATACACATACACATACACACATACATGCATACA